TCTGTTGACCTAGTTTTCACCAGGACAAATGGACATTTTTGTTGACCCAGTATTCACCGGGATAAATTGACATTTCTGTTGACCTAGTATTTACCAGGATAAAGGGACATTTCTGTTGACCCAGCATTCATTAGGATAAATGAACATTTCTGTTGACTTAGTATTCACCAGGATAAATGGACATTTCTGTTGACCCAGTATTCAACAGAATAAATTGACATTTCTGTTGACCTAGTTTTCACCAGGATTAATGGACATTTTTGTTGACCTAGTATTCACTGGGATAAATGGACATTCCTGTTTAGTATTTACCAGGATAAACGGACATTTTTGTTGACCCAGTATTCACTAGGATAAATAGACATTTCTGTTGACCTAGTATTCACCAGGACAAATGGACATTTCTGTTGACCCAATATTTACCAGGATAAATGGACATTTGTGTTGACCCAGTATTCACTAGGATAAATGGACTATTCTGTTGACCTAGTATTCACCAGGATAAATGGACATTTCTGTTGACCCAATATTCACCAGGATAAATGAACACTTCTGTTGAACTGGTATCCGCCAAGGTAATTGAACATACCCGAATAACCTGAATCCACGAGGACAAATAAAAACTTATGTTGAACCAGTATCCACCAGAAAAAAGCAGATGTTCCAACATCAGTGCAGAAAGGTCGCGCAACAACTACTCCATTACTGTACCTATAGAAATCACGAAAAAATATCTTTTATTGTCCTATTTGGGTTCATCTGAGTAAAGATTCGACACCACAGCATCCATGACAAGCCCATATTAGCCCAGTCTACTTCCATATTAACTCCGTCTCCACCCCTCCCCCATATTGACTCCGTCTCCCTACATATTAACTCCGTCTCCCTCTATATAAACTCCACCTCCCTCCATATTAACTCCGTCTCCCTTCACATTAACTCCGTCTCCCTTCATACTAACTACCTCTTCCTCCATATTAAACTTTATCTCACTCCATATTAAAACCGTCTCTCTTCATTTTAACTCCGTCCCCCTCCACATTACCCACGTCACCTTGCATATTAACTCCGTCTCCCCCATATTAATTCCGTCTCCCTGCATATTAACTCCGTCTCCCACCCCCATGCTAACTCCTCCTCCCTCCATATTAACTCAGCCTTCCTTCATATTAAATTTGTTTCCTCCATATTAACTCCACCTCCCTCCATATTACTTCTGCCTCCCTCTGTATAAACTCCGCCTCCCTCCATATTAACTAATCCTTCCTCTATAGTAACTCAGCTTTCCTTTATATTAACTACGTCTCCTTCCATATCACCCCTGTCTCCCTCCATATTACCTCAGCCTCCCTCCATATTAACTCTGCCTCCCTCCATATTAACCCCGCCTCCTTCCATATTAACTCAGCCTTATTTCACATTACCTCCGTCTCCTTCACAATAACTCCGTCTCCCTCCATATCAACTCTGTCTTCCTCCAAATTCACTTCGTCTCCCTCCCCATTAACTCCGTCTTCCTCCATATTAACTCCGTCTCCCTCCATATTAACTCCGTCACCCTCAATATTAACTCCGTCTCACTCCATATTAACTACGCCTTTCTCCATATTAACTCCGTCTCCCTCCATAATAACTCCGTCTCCCTCCATATTAACTCCGTCTTCCTTCAAATTAACTCCGTCTCCCTCCATATTGACTCCGTCTCCCTCCATATTAACTCCTTCTTCCTTCAAATTAACTCCGTCTCCCTCCATATTGACTCCGTCTCCCTCCATATTAACTCCGTCTTCCTTCAAATTAACTCCGTCTCCCTCCATATTGACTCCGTCTCCCTCCATATTAACTCAGTCTTCCTTCAAATTAACTCCGTCTCCCTCCATGTTAACTCCTTCTCCCTCCATATTAACTCCGCCTCCATCCATATTAACTCCGTCTCCCTCCATATTAACTCCTTCTCCCTCCATATTAACTCCGCCTCCATCCATATTAACTCCGCCTCCCTTCAAATTAACTCCGTCTACCTCCATATTAACTCCGCCTCCCTTCAAATTACCTCCGTCTCCCTCCATATTAACCGAGCCTCCCTCATCAACAAACAACACTGTCATCATACTGATGGTACCCGTTGTTATCAGCATAAAATAAACTCCAGGTAATGTCCTGGGAGATAAAGGCGGTGGACGTAATGGAGACCGTAGCACCCATGAATATCACACTGGCATATCAAATATGAATCTAGTATAGTATGCATTATGCGCCACCGGCTTTAAAAAAAAAAAAACATAAACAACAACCGTACTCTCTCCTATTTACTTACAATAATCTACTCCATGGCTATTTAACTAGCGGCCCGCGAACCACATCTGACCCGCAGAGGCTTAACATGTTGCCCTCGGATCACTGCCCGTTACTATTCAGTGATTTTTTTCTGTGATCTTTTTGAAAATATTGGCCCTGAGTGGTTGAAAAAAACTCAGACCGTGACAATACCCATTTTGAAAATATGTCGTGGTATGGGACTCCTGAGTAAATGGGTAGGATGGGCTGAAAAGTAAAGACACCGGATCTACCACATTAGAAGAGCCATGGTGTTGTTTGCGCCGAATGATCTTTACTTTAATTTTTTTTTAAAATAGAAGGCCATGTATTTTGATCTTTTTTGAAATTCTGTTGCAATATAAGAACAGAAAGAGAGATGGTCATTGGCTAGTTAGTTGCGTAATCTTTACAGGACGTTGCAGAACTAACCCCAACATTTTTTGGAGCTCCCTTGGTTCTTTTAGGCAAACTTTATTTCCAGTAGTTTGCCATTGCCCCCTGAACGGTTAGCTTTTCCTACCATTATCGAAACCAAAGCAAGACAAATCGTCCGCAGCTGGGATCAAACCTGGCACCACGGCATTACGAAGCACGACCGCAATGCCAAGTCACAGACGCTGACGGTGAGAGGTACATGAAGAAAACAAACATTCTATTTCGAAATGCATGTGCAAAATGTATTTTATCTCTCTTCCCCTTCACTAAGAATTCCAGAGAAATTTGACTAAAAAGTTCAACAAAATGGAAAAGAGGAAAATTCACCATTCTTGGATTTTCACATCGACTGCGCCTAACCCACGTTTTTGTTTGTCACTGTACATGTTTAGTTTAGTTTCCGCGCCTCTGTGTTTCGCTTTGTTTAAAAAATTTCATCTTTCCCATTTTGTTGAGCTTTTTAGTCAAATTTCTCTGTTTTAGCTTGACTGCAGTCACCCCCATAGTTTCCCCTATACTAGCTCATTGTGTCTTTCTCTCCCCCCTTTCCCTCCCCCTCCTATTCTTTGTAGCTGGTTCATCCCCCTTCTCACAATTCTCTCAGTTACTGCCACCCCTGTACCAGTCTATTCCCTATCTTAGAAACTCAAAAGTCCCCATGTGGGTTCCGGGGCCCTGTTATCGGAAAAACAAGAATAGACCCCCTGCACACTCAAAAGCATGTCACAAGAGTCGACTAACTGGGAGCTTCCTTCAAAGTCGGAGTGCATCTGCCTGAGAGGCAAGGAACCAGCAGTCTGCCTACACAGGAGTCAGATCTGTAAAAACGGATGCACACGCAACACTCTTGTTCTGGAAAAAAACTGCAGTCCAGAAGTAAATAAATAACCATAACTTTCCGCCAGAGTTTACAGCTGGTAAACGCAAAGAAGATGAAGAAGAAATTAAAAAAAATAGGCAAAATTTCTACCAGTCTCTCCTCAGTTCTTTCAGTTCCAGAAAATTATAACCGATACCCACTTGTGACAGTAATGACAACGTCATTATAGGTATACTACATCCACATGGACTAAATGTACAGCAAAATGTAGGAGACACGTGTATTGTCCTCACTAAACTTAAAATACAGAAACATAAATATACAGCTCTTAATGTTGAATACTGAATTAAGAATCGGCATCACTCGCGATATTTGCATAAGCGCCCTGTCCCCATCTTCAGCAGCAAGTGAAGAGTTCCAGTTCAGATAGTACAGTATGTGTCTGATTGTACATCCGTCTCGCCTTTCCCTTGAGTACTGACCGTCGGCCAGATCCCCTGGCAACTTCCAGCAGCGCCATTCTCCTCAGACCGCAATGATCTGTTTGTGCCCTCGCACTGTTCACTCGCCCCCCCCCCCCTCCCACAAAGGGGAACCTAACAATATCTAGCTTGTCATACATTCAATTCCCACCAAGTGGTGAAAAAGCCAGTCAGTCTGTCTGCCTGCTCGTTTCCTAACACACCGACATAACCTAGAGAAAATCTCCAAAGGACGCTAACTATGGATTAAAGGTTAAAGGTTAGTTGCGTATCCTATACAGGACGTTGCAGAACCAACCCTTTTAGCCACTGGCTGTTGTGTGGTTTCACTAGGCAAATTTAGGTCCAGTAGTTTGCCATTTCTTACTGGACTGTCGGCTCCCTGATACCAGTGTCAAAACCAACGCAAAGCGTATGGCCCGCAGCTGGGATCGAACCTGGTACCCCGGTATTACGAAGCGTTCGCATCGACTTAAACTATGGATTGTCTATGTATTTTGTATTTTAATACTGTTTTCAGGTTGACTGTAATATCCAGAGCTATAGATAGCACGCTGTTTGGTACCGTTCTCCTTCGCCTTCATCCGCTGTAAACTCCAGCGAAAATTTCTGGGTGTTCATCCATCTCTGGACTTGGGTCTTGTTAGAGAACCGGAGTGTTGGGTGCACACCTGATTTATAGATAGGGCTTATTTTGATACCTGTCTTTGCCTCTCATTCAGATGCACTTAGGCTTCAAAAGATACCTCCAATTAGTTTAATTTTACGACATGTTATTTGGTGAAAAAAAAGGGGGGGGGGGTTGGGTGGGGCGTGGTGGGTGGGAATTGGTCTTTGCTTTTGCTACTATAAGGGTCCCTGAGCCCACACCGGGAGCTGTTTAGCACTTGGGAAGTGAAACAGTTCCATGATTAAAACCTCGCCCTTTGTTTCTTTCAGTGGAGATCCCGCTCAACTGCCCGACCCACCAGTGTCCGGTCGACGCGCCCAGGTACAACTACCCGGACTGGACCGACCTTAACTGTGCTTCTTACTACAACTGCGAAAGGGGGACACTCAGTCAACGCCTGTGTCCAGCTGGTCAGAAGTTTGACGTCATCACCACGGTCTGCAAGCAGTATTCTGACCCAGAGGCTATCTTTTGTGAATATTTCAGGAACTGATCCTCGTGTTTGTCATCTTTTAGTTCGGTATTTTATTTTTAATACACCTCAAACAAGGGAAATCTCAGTGTTTCCGAGAATGTCCAATATTTTAGGGGGTGTTATGAGTTGGGGGTTAGGGTTAGAATCTCGACCGCCTCAGAGACACCAAAAAGTCCTAACCATAACCCTAACTCTAACCCTAGCCCTAACTCTAACCCTAACTGTAGCCCTAACTCTAACCCTAGCCCTAACTCTAACCCTAACCATAGCCCTAACTCTAACCCTAGCCCTAACCCTAACCCTAGCCCTAACTCTAACTCTAAGCCTAGCCCTAACTCTAACCCTAGCCCTAACCCTAACTGTAGCCCTAACTCTAACTCTAACTCTAGCACTAAGTCTAACCCTAACAGTAGCCCTAACTCTAACCCTAACCGTAGCCCTAACTCTAACCCTAGCCCTGACTCTAACCCTAACCGTAGCCCTAACTCTAACCCTAGCCCTAACTCTAACCCTAACCGTAGCCCTAACTCTAACTCTAACCCTAGCACTAAGTCTAACCCTAACAGTAGCCCTAACTCTAACCCTAACCCTAGCCCTAACTCTAACCCTAGCCCTGACTCTAATCCATAGGCCATAACATCATTAGAACATTGGACTTTCCCGAGAACTACGGGATTTCCTTTGTTTGGGGTTAAAAATGAAGTACAATTAGTTCTTCTAACACAGTGCTGTGGTGCATGTTCTTTGCTATTATGCTAATATTATTCCTGGCTATAAACCTAGGGGCTCAGATTGATTATAATGTTCAAAATTGCAAAAATTACGCATGGTTATCGGGTGGCAAGTTTTTATTAATTGAGGGGAAATCCTGTACTCCTAAGAACATCGATGACTCAGACGCAAGACAGAACTATACATTGATTGGTTAAACCCTAAGGTTGTGGTGTGAACAGTTTGAACATATTCACCAATAGGTTAATACATCTAATGAATATCTAGTCACTAACCTACCACAGGCAGCATTTCTCACAAAATCAGTAATTTGTCAGTTTCCACGCCCCATATTCCGTGACTATTGTGACACAATTTTGGCATTCAAGATCTTTGTCATTTAAGAGTGAAATTGTTTAAAAATGTCCACAGGAAAACCTCAGGGTTTAGGAAATCAATTGATAGCTCTTTTACATCTGGGTTCACCGACTGTTAACTTCAGCAGAAAGTCTTAGTTGTTCGTTCAATTCCGGACTGTGGTCTTGTTCCGGAATTTGAATTACATGCACATCCGTTTTACAGATTCAGCTTCTTTGTCTGCAGACTGTGTGTGTGTGTGTGTGTCTTTCAAACCTACCAGAACCGTACAACGAGCGACAAACATCCGATGACAAAAAGTGCCACCATTCGGATGAGGTGACCCGTGACCAAGTAATAGCAACCCCGTTCAACCTTAGGTTAAATTGGGACAAACGACTAAAGCTGGGTGGGGCTTTCAGATAACGAAAAACTGCATCCAACATAGGAACGGGAATGTTCCTGGCTTCTCGGGCAGATTTACACCGGCTTCCAAGCAAAAACCCTTAATTAGTCGCCTTTTATGACATGCTTGTTACTGGGGCAGTTAGTCTGTTCCCCTCCTCCTTCTAAAATGGGACCGCAGACCCACACGGGGGCTATGAAGAACAACAACCCGTTTATTATCATTTGTGTATTTCATAAAACCATCATCGTCATGTGGCAGGCTCCTTGAGCAAAGTCGGATTCTCTTACAGACTCGACGGAAATACATCGTGTCCCTTACCATGCCTTGAGTATTGTCTACAGGAATTGATACGAATGGTGGTAGAAGGTGACAGATGCGCCTAAGCTTGAATAATGGGAGGACAGAAATAATGGCAACATAGAAGACAAGATAGTGCCTACATTTATATCAAAAGTCAGTGGTTTTATTTTGGAAAGAAGCGCAGAAATTTAAATATCTAGGGATATGCATAACAGGAATCTAAAAATATGTATGGGTAGAAAGTGATAGGCCCCAGCGTGAATAAATTGGGGACAGAAGTAAGGATAACATCACAGACAATAATTGTACCAACAATAATAATAAATGTCAAAGACGTTATTTTAGGAGAATCGCAGAAATGTAAATAAATAGTGACGATTATCATCACTGCATTCCAGACACATCCGTAGTTGCTCCGATCTTCTCCTCAGAAGCTCCACAAGAGTAAAACGACAGATCACGCTAGTTCTAGGTTGATTGATTAAACATCTTTTCCCCTTGGTGAAATGTTCATTTCTTGCAGCACTAGTTAGCATCCATGTGCCTTTCCGCCTGGACAGTTGAGAAATGTAAGTATCTGGACACATGGATAACATCCGACGGAATATGTGACACAAAGATAACGAATAGAAAAGGACAGACCGAAAATGCATTTTACAAAATGAAGAACATTTGATCAAATCAATCCATGTCATTGGAGTTCAGACAAAATAATTTTCGCATGACAATTAATACACAAGCAGAACAATATCTTTGCAGCCTCAGACTTGTGGTTTTACAAAAGAATCCTCTGATGAAGAACCTTCGGGCAACCAAAAAAAAGAGCAACCCAGATGTTTCGAAAATAGCGAGGACTCGGAAGCAAGTTATAAACATCAGAAACAGTCATTCGTCTGTTGGTCAAGTTATCAGAAGAAGGACACTGGAACGTGTATGACCACTGGAAAAAAATTGTGAAGACAGTGCAAAACATTCTTGGCAGTGTGTGCTAAGTCTGTGTGTGCTTAGTCTGTGTGTGCTTAGTTTGTGTTTGCTTAGTCTGTGTGTGCTTAGTCTGTGTGTGCTTAGTCTGTGTGTGCTTAGTATGCGCATCATAAGCATGATGCGACGGGTCGAGGCAGGCTCCACACGCAGACAGTCGACTCAGTCATTACAATACTCTCCTGTATTTTCAGTTAGCTTCATATTTGGCCCAATGAATCGTGGTGTTGTTTGCAATAAAAGAGGTGATAGATTGGCAGGCTTTGCATTAACTGCAGACGGCCGGCTCATGGATCACGCAGGCATTGTTATTGCCCTTAGAGAGATATGACGTGTCGTGGTCTCTGGAAGCAACGTGTTCGCACCACTGCTAAGAATACTAGAATAGGAAGTGGAGATCGGCCCAGCCAAGCATGAGAGGCACACCAGACTCACAAGAAGTCTTGTTAACCAGCATAGGACTGACACTATTAACCGCACAATGGTGATGAATATATTGAAGAAAGAATCTGAGCACCTATGGATGGGTTCGGAGTGCTGTGAAAATAATCCGATTTATAACCCATAATTCTTGACAGCCGTGCGTCATGCACACGAACTGATACACACTGTTGGAGAGATGGTATCAGTCGTCCCCTTTTATGTTGCAAGTTTTCGTTACTTTAAGCTCCACCCTGGCTTTTTTCGGGGGCCCCAAATATAACTGGGCCAAAAAATGTGGCCATAGCGGCTGAAAAGGGTTTCTGGGACGTCTCCACGGGTGATCCTCAAACGCATGGTGGCACTTTTTGTCACCGGGTGTTTATCACTTGTGTGCTGTCCTAGAGGGGTAAAAGGTACAACTACTACTACTACTACAACTGTTGGGAAGGCATGGTTGCTCACACACAGTTTGGCAAGGCACTTGATGATGATGATGAAAGTATATTTGTACTCCTTTCTGTCTACTTTTGGTCTAGTTTGCATTCTTGCTGGGGCCATAGATTCTTTGTACGACTTCTAAAAATGTGTAATAAGGTTTCGTCCCTTTTAGCTCTACACCATGTTTCAGAACTATGCAGGAAAACTGTTCTTATCAGTGTTTTTCACACTGTTATATTTGGCACTGTTGAATTTGTTTGCTGGTGTTGTGTTAGTCCAGAGACTTTTAGTGATGCATTTTCATGAGCAGCCTCCTTCTGATATCTGATAAACTGTCTCCAGTGTTATTCATTACGAAATAAGATGTTCAAAGCTTTTCGATATGTTTCATTTTCGTCAGTGTTGACGTTGCTCTCTGTTTGTACTTTACCCTGTGAAGCCGTGTCTTCGAATAAAATCAAATGAATATTTTTGTAAACATTATATTCATTTCGTTCTGTTGAAAAAAAATCATACCCAACAATCAATTCATGAATCAGTCACTTTATTTAACCATTACTTGATCCAGAGATGGCTACATCCACAGCCATCCATCCACTCTCGTTCCTGACATCCACCCCCACACCCAACATTCTTGCTTTCCAACCATCCGTTCCTCCTTCCTAAACGACATTTTTTATCCAGCCAGCCGTGTCTTCAACTATTCATCTATCCTACTCTCATTCCACATAACCATTATTCCATTTACCCATCAATCACACCCTCCGACCGACCACCTCCCCATCCAATCATCTATCTTCCAATCATCCTTCTGTTTAACCATCTGTCTATCCAAACATTCAACCGTGCCTTATCCTAACCGTCACTCTGTTTTACCAGCTCTCTTTACAACCATCCCACCCTTGATCTAACCATCCCAGAATTCAAGCATTCCTTCCTCTCTCTATCTAACTACCCCTATATCCGACCAACCCTTCCCTCTGCCCTGCCAGTCATTTATCCATCCGTCCATCCATTCCTCCCTTCATCTAATCATCCTTCTCTTCCTTCCCTTCATCTAAACTTCCTTCTTTTCCATCCTTCATCAAAATATCCTTCAAACCATATTTCCCTCCCACATCCTAACCATCATTCTTAACAACAATAGCGTCTTTCCACCCCCCACCCCTCCATCCATTTTCCTCCTATGCTTATATCTACCCAGACCCACACCAGGCCCTTCCCTGTGCCAGCTCACCCGTGTCATTACTGTGGGATTTCCTGCTGGTCTGTCAGCGGGGCAGGCGCCAGCAGACTGAAATAATTATGTCAATATTTCACAACTTGATACTTTCAAATGTTGGGGTCATCAACCAAAGAGATGAGGGCAGCAGGGGTGTGTAGACCATGGTGAAACGAC